AAAAAATAAATAAATAAATAAATAAATAAATAAAAAATAAAAAGAATAAAGATCCTCTTTTATTTTGAAATCTTTGACTTTGAACTATCTAAGATAAGATAAAACTTTATTTATGTATTTATTTATTTATTTAAGTAGGTAATCCTTTCTCCATTCTTCTCTCAGGATTTTGAGCACACACCCAGCATGCTTTTCAAGCCTCTTGGTCTAGGACTCAAAGCACACTGTCGGCCATGTGGGATCCAGCGCCTTAACCTCCATGTCATCTGCTGGCCCTGAGATAAAACTATTAAACCCACAGTTTCTAGTAGACCTTTCAAATTTATTAAGCTCCTAGTACGGATCGTAGTGTCCTAGAGCTGTACTGTCCAAAACGGTAACCACTAGCCACATGTGCATTATTTTAAAGTAAACAGAGGCCAGTAGGTGGTATAGTGGTTAAGGCACTGAACTCCCACATGGCTAGCTGCAATTCAAGTCCTTGACCTGGTGGCTTGAAACACACCAGGTGTAATAGAGAGGTAAGACATTTGTGGGACACAGATATGGTTTATTATTTGTTGATGAGTCTGTGTATAGTATTCTCAACTGGGCTGGACTGAGGTGTGTATCATGCTGGGTAAAGTCTTTTTACAATCTAAATGATGTTTAGTGATTAAATATATAAATAATAATATAGATGATACAGAGAGAGAGAGAGAGAAAGAAAGAAAGAAGACAGACACCAGGCACCCAAAATCCCAGGAGGAGAAGGGATTACAGTGTGGCCATACCCCGGGGATGGGGTTGGGGGGGGTGATTTCTCACTGTCTCTGGTGAGCACACATGCCCTCTGGCAAGAAAACCTTTTTTAAAAAAGTAAATACATGTAAATAAAAACAATTCCTTTGTTAGTCACATTAGCCTTATGCCAAGTAATCCTTTGCTGTTAGGTTGTTGGGGAAGTCATGCTGTATTTTTCTATGCAAAAATGTCATGACATTCCCAACAGCCTAGAACATTTAGCTAGTGTCTACCATTTTGGACAGAAGGGGTATAGAACGTCTCCATCATTGCAGAAAGTCCCGTTGAACAGCACTGGGAGGAATATGGTTACTTGATGTCTTAGTGCCAGGACTCAGATATTTAAAGCTTTCTTCAGGTATTGATATATACATGGACTTAATACCTCTGGGTTTCATTATTAATTCATGTCTGCAACTTGTTCGCTGACCATGGTAAGTAACAAGGGACATTTCAAAGTAATTGTTCATTTTGGTTCCTGAAGCTCTTTTCTTATCAGTTCCTGCCAGATGGCATTTCTCCAGAAATGCAATCTAATTTTTATGGAATAATTTGCATAACTTAGAACTTAAATGAAACTATTTTTAACACCTATAGATGACAGTTGAAAGTAACTGTTTCAAGTAATTAACATAATTTGAAAGTAACAGCTGCATATGTGTTAAACAGTTTCTTAAAATTTACTCGACGAAAACTATTTTTGGAAGAACTCTTTCTGGAAGAAACTAGTGCAGTGATTGTTTTGAGCCAGTCCTAAATGAAGGACGATAGGAATGCTGTTAGTAGCAGTTGAAGAGGTGTGTTCACTACAAATAGTTTCTTTTAAGGAAAATCTTAAATGATATATATTACACAAGCTTCTTTATAAACATTGCCTGTGAGAAGATTCTAAATATTAGCCAAGTTTGAATATGTGAGCTTTTTAGGGAAGTCTGAAATAGCCTAATGTTTATTTCTAATTTTGGAATTTGCTATGATTTAAATGTATGATAGTCATTAAATTTTTTCTATGAAAAATTAGACTATGAGAATTTTAAGCCTAGGGTTGGTGGTCTTCAGTTAATCATAACTCCTACCAGTCTTGGTAGCATTATATCTCTATTACTTACTTTTTATTTCTCTTTTTGAGGGGGAGGGTGGTATTATTACCATTATACAGAGAGGTTAATTAACTTGCCCAGGGTCACGCTTACTAGCTTAGCTACCATTTATTTTCTACTCATTTTCTTACTTAATTTTACTTTTTCTTTTTTTTTTTGGAGAGGTTTTTGCTATAGGGCGCGTGCGCTTGCCAGACAGAGAGAGACAGAGAGACAGAAAGCGAGAAATCACCCCCCAGGGGGGATGGTCACGCCGCAATCCCTTCTCCCCTGCATTCTCCGCTCGGGATCTTGGGCATGCACACACACGCGCCTGCTGTGAGTTTAAGCCACTAGGTCCGGGACTCAAACCGCAGTTGGCTACATGGGATTCTAGCGATACAACCATTATGCCAACTGCTGGTCCCTGTTTTTACTTTTTATGTAGTTGGTTCGAGTGTTCAAACATTCCTTAAAATACTGGTTAACATATATCCAACTGATGGAACCATTACTAAAAAAAAGATTTCTCAGTAATTTATCATTTTGAAAACCTGTTTGGAAAATCATGATGTATTTTTCTGTATAAAAGTGTGCCCTGACTTTCCTGACAACTCTACTGTTTTAAGAGTATTAGGCATAGCCTTTTGGCCGGAACCGCCATCTTCCAGTAATTAACCAGAATGACGAACACAAAGGGACAGAGGAGAGGCACTGATATACGTTCTCTGGGCCTTTTAGAAAACATCGAGTTGTTCCTCTGGCAACATACATGTGAATCTACAAGAAAGGTGATACTGTAGACATTAAGGGAATGGTACTATTCAAAAAGGAATTCCCCACAAATGTTACCATGGCAAAACTGGAAGAGTCTACGTTACCCAGCATGCTGTTGGCATTGTAGTGAACAAACAAGTTAAGGGCAAGATTCTTGCCAAGAGAATCAATGTACGTATTGAGCATATTAAACATTCTAAGAGCAGAGATAGCTTCCTAAAACGTGTGAAGGAAAATGACCAGAAAAAGAAAAAAGCCAAAGAGAAAGGTACCTGGGTTCAACTAAAGCGCCAGCCTGCTCCACCCAGAGAAGCACACTTTGTGAGAACCAATGGAAAGGAGCCTGAGCTACTGGAACCAATTCCCTATGAATTCATGGCATGATAGGTGTTAAAAATAAACTAATCTGTGGTCTATAAAAAAAAAAAAGAGTATTAGGCATTCATTGGCTGTAAAGATGGAAGCTGGTGATAGCATTTTATCTTATAGCTATTATACTGGCTCAGTTGGTGACTGAAAGGCAAGGCTAAGATGCAAAGTCAAGTCTGAATTCAAGAAGTTTTGCTTGTTTTTCCTTGGCTAATATCAAGCGTAACCATATTTCACCTTATTGGGCTGAGTTTTCTAGAGAAAAAAAAAATCAGAGAAATGGAAGGGCTTTTTGAAATATAGTTTGTAATTTATAATAACCTTTTTTAAGATTAGTCAGAAAGGAAAAAGATAGGCAGTTCAGGTTCTTCTCTGCAGAGTGATCAACATGTGTTATGTTTTTTTAGCCCCCTAAGAAATTAATTACTTAAAAAAAGAAAAAGGAATTTGCAATTCTAGGGACCAGCAGGTGGCATAATGGTTATGTTGCTGGACTCCCACATAGTTGACCACAATTCTAGTCTTGGACCTGGAGGCTTAAAACTCAAATCGGGAGTGTGTACATACGTGCCCCAAATCCTGAGTATAGAATGGAGGAGGAGGGATTGTGGTGTGGCCATCTCCCCTGGGGGGTGATTTCTTGCTTCCTTTCTCTCTGTCTTTTTCTTCAGTGAGCACACGCTCCCTATGCAAAATCTCTCTAAAGAAAAAAAGAAATTGCATTTTCATAAAATGGTTTTTCTAACAGTTCTGACAAATCAATTCTTTACATTGACTTATATAAGTTTTGATGTGGTGAAATGGGTGAAATCAGCACTTAAAAACGGAAAGTTTCTAACATATATATTGAGGGTATTGCAGCTGTCTTCTCAGAACTTTAGAGCGACGATGAACACATCTGAAAGAATCAGGTGGTATTTCCTATGCTAATAATCTACATGCCACCTGCCTTTTTTCCCAAAGTCACATACTACTAATTCATGCTTTTGACCATATCCTTATAATATACAGTCACAGTCATGGGGACCAGCAGATGGTATGTAATGGTTACTTTGTTGGACTCCCATGTAGTTAACCACCGTTCAAGTCCCAGACCCGGCAGCGTGAAACCTCACATGGGGCAACGTGCGTATGTGCACATGCCCAAGGTCCTGAGAGGACAGAGGAGAAAGGATTGCACGGGGCCGTCTAGATCCCTAGCAAGTGATTTCTCAGTTTCTCTCTGTGTCTCTGGTGAGCACACACACCCCCTAGCAAAGATCTCTCTCTTTAAAAAAAAAAAAATCATAGTCACGATGTTTTAGTTATTTAAATATGCTAAAAGCAATTTTAATATTTTAGGTAAAATTATAATTAAATGATACTGTTTTGGGGCCCAGCCGATGGCGTAATGATTATATTGCTGGACTCCCACATGGCTGACCATGGTTCGAATCACGCACCTAGAGGCTTCAAACTTAAACTGGCATGTGTACATACGTGCCCAAAATCCTGAAAGAAGAATGAAGGAGAAGGGATTGTGTCATGGCCATCCCTTGTAGGTGGTGATTTCTTGCTTTCTGTCTCTGTCTCTGTCTCTGTCTCTCTCTCTTTCTCTCTGTCTTCAGCAGGGACACACGCCCTATATAAAAAATCTCTGTTAAAAATTAATAAGTAAAAATAGCATTTTGTTGTGTACTATCTAAAGTCGTTTCATACAGTGCCCGTGATGTACACAGCACACTGTGGGAAATTCTGGTGTATCATATATGTACCCACAGCACATCCGACTGCACTGGTCACACTCCAGATGGCTTCCCTAGAACAATTATAACAGGAGAAGCAAGAGGTTCTTTTGCGGTTTGAACTTCAGCATGCTGACTTGACAGTGTCTCTTTTTGTGAAGGGAAATATTTCATTGCAAGTTTCAAAATCATTTAGCAAGGATTTTAAGATGACTTATTTTCAAAGATACTTCCTTCTCCAGTTGGAAAAACCATACTAAACTTGGTATCACGAGCTTAGAACGTTCCTAAATGCCCCAAAATACAGTACTCTAAACTGCACTAGCCAGACTGCTTTATATTCTACTTTCTAACACTTCCTCTTTGTACCATTCTCAGCAGAGAAGAGTTGTGTGTTTTGTTTTGTTTCGTTTTGTTTTTGAGAGAGATTTTTGCTATAGGGTGCGTGTGCTCGACAGAGACACAGAGAGACAGAAATTAAGAAATCATCCCGGGGGGGAGGGGCAGCAGTTAGGGTAATGGCTATGTCGCTGGATTCCCACGTAATAGACTGTGGTTTGCATCCCGGACCCAGTGGCTTAAAACTCACGCTGGACGCGTGTGCGTGCGTGCCCAAGATCCCGAGAGGAGAATGGAGGAGAAGGGATTGCGGCATGACCATCCCCTCTGGGGGGTGATTTCTCACTTTCTGTCTCTATGTCCCTCTTTGTCTGTCTGGCGAGCGCACGCGCCCTGTAGCGAAAACCTCCCCAAAAGAAAAAAAAGAAAAGAAATCATCCCCCAAGGGGGATAGCCATGCCACAGTCCCTTCTCCTCTATTCTTCATTCTGAATTTTGCGCATACATGCATATGCCCATGGCATGAATTTCAAGCTGCCGGGTCTGACTGTGTGGGAGTCCATTTTCCCATTCGCTGGTCCCCAGAGAAGAGTTTTTTATTTCAAAGTTAGATTTGTAAAATCTACTGTATTTCAGAAGATTTGGTGGAGTATCTCTATACTGAATGTAAGGGGAGAGAGGAGGACCAGTCAAGACCTGTACTTGACTGCACTAGATGCAAGAGATGAGCTTGTGAGGGTCCAGACGAATACTGTCTAGTTTGCCAACATCAACCCACTGTTTTAGTCATTGCAATTAGTAGCTCATGGTCCCTGAGTAGTGCAAACCAGGCCAAGGCAACAGCCTTTCTAATACATAGGAAGAAACACGCTTAAACCAGGGAGAGTAGAAATGAGGTACAGGCATTTCATCAGCTAACAGGCATCATTGAGCTCATCATTGTCGATGTTTTGCAAACATTTTTCACTGCAATCCAAGATGAAAAATAAGATTTTACATCATAATCCTGTTTGTGTGTAACCACATGCCCTATAGCAAAAACCTTTCCAAAAAAAAGAATAAATAAATAAATAATGAAACAAAATAAATAATAAATAGTTAAATAAAATAGTTCTTTAAAAAATAAATAAAGACACTAGTGCTAGTATTACCCCTAAAGTGATTACATAATCCACATTATGGATTATAATCCATAATCCAGGAGGTCTTCGCTTACATTATCTTTAAATACTACCTCTTAGATAACTAGGTCAGCTAGGAACAATGGGGGAGCGAAAGGAAGCAAAAGCAAAATTTAGATACTTGGGCTTGCAGTTATGGAGGACAAAGAATATACAATTAGGTGGTATCATAAATGGAAGGATAAAATTTTAACCTTCAATTTTAATTATAACTGACAGTGAAGGGACTAAAGCATATGTTAGAAAAGTGAATACTATTGTGGATAAACAAAATATCACCTGCTATAAACAGAAGAGATGTTAGAAGGACTCAAACTGTTAGCATATAAATATAGTTGTTAATGTCTTGTCTTTAATAAGTCTTTGTTATTATCACTAAAAGGGATTTTGAATTCATATCATTAAAACAAGCCCGACTGTCCACATTTTATGGATGAGAAGGCTGAAACCAACAAAGTTTACAGGACTTGCTGATGCCATAGCTCGTCGGATGAGGGATGAGAGTGGGGTGGAGCCGGAATAGCTTTCAGGTGTCCTAGTGTGGGACATTTCTGGCTGTCCCACTCTACTCTTAAAGAATAGAAGAGTGTCAGCACATCATAATCTATAATGTTTTCTTCTATTTGCAGGAGGATATTCCACGTCAGCTGGTCTACATTGGCCTTTACCTCTTTCACATTGCTGGAGCTTATCTTTTGAAGTGAGTTGGGATTTTTCATTGGTCTGTAGATGGACTGGGCAGATAGTCTGCTAATCTACTTTAATTGATGACCAATTTTTAAAATTTGTTCTTTCAACAGCTTGAATCATCTCGGACTTGTTCTTCTGGTGCTGCATTATTTCGTTGAATTTCTGTTCCACATTTCCCGCCTGTTCTATTTTAGTGATGAAAAGTATCAGAAAGGGTAAGTTACGTGGCTCCCATTTCTTGGGTAGCAGTTATTCACAGCCAGCGTATTTCCAAGGCTTGCAGCTCTGGCAGTGTACATTCAGCTCAGCTTTAACTAAACTCCTTTGGCCTTGATAGTTTCCTCTCTGAAATGGACTGTGCCTAGCCGGATAGATGCTGTAATAACGTTTGTCATTTTCAAGGGTTTTAGGGCTTGCCTTTTTTTTTTTTTTTTTTTTTTTAATGACTTCTTCCTTGTTTATCATGTTTTTTCTTTCGGAGAAAGTGTTAGAGAAGTAAACCTTTAGAAGAAAATGAAATAATGGATAAGATAGCTTTAAAGATTCTAAAAGATTTAGGTCTTCGCCACGGTGGCACATGCCACTAAGACTCAGTGCTTCACAGACTGGGACCTTTGAGAAGCCCGGGTTCAATTAGCTCAACCCAAAGGCTAAGCCTGGTGGTATGTGCCTGTAATCCCAGTAACCCAGGCAGGCTAGAGCAAGAGGACCACCATATAGCAAGACCCTGTCAAAAGAAAAAAAAAAAAAGGTAGTAAAAAGTTTTGATGGAAAAATTGAACTAAAAATAGAATTTGAAAGGTATAACGTGTAAACAGTATAAAGTCTCTTTTAAAGGTAAAACTAGGACACTCAAATGGAAATTGGGTGTCTTATTCTTTACAGCACAACTTTTGTTTTTTCCAGCACGTTTTAAAATTGTTCTGTATACCAAGTATTGAGCAGCCAGGTATGGGTGCAGTGGTAGCACAACTGGGCCCACATGGTAAAAGGTCCATAGTTCTCATCCTGGGGACCCCCCAAGCATGCCACACATGCACTCATGTGTCTGTGATCTGGGCCGCTGAGACTGGAGGGAATCACAACTTGAAGACTATTGGGGGTGCCTGTGGATATGTCTGTCTTGTCTTTTTCTTGGAAGAAATAAACTTTTTTTAAAAAAGCCCCAGGGGCCAGCAAGAGGTAGGAATTTTGTTTTGTTTAAAGGGAGATTTTTACTATCATGTGCACACACTCACCAGAGAGACAGAGACAGGGAAACAAAACGAGAAATCACCTGCTGGGGGATGGGCACGCACGCACATGCGCCTAGCATGAGTTTTAAACTGCCAGGTCCGGTGTGAGTTTTAAACTGCCAAGTCTGGGACTTGAACCACGGGGATTCCAGCAGTGTAACCATTAGACCATCGCTGGTCCCAGTGGCATGGTTTTTAAGCCACTGGAGTCTACATGGATGACCCCACAGTTCAAGTCCCAGACTTGGTAGTTTAAAACTCCTGAGAGGAGAATGGAGGAAAGGAGATTGCAGTGTGGCATCCTCCCTGTGGGAGGGGAGTGATTTCTCACTTTCCCTCTCTCTCCAGCAAGTGTACACACCCTATAGCAAAAACCTAAAAAATGTTTTAAAAAGATTCCAGCCTGGGGGCACATTCCTTAACAAACTGAACTACAGTGTTGGAAGCCAAGTGGCCAACCACTAGTCTGCTATACATCACTTTTTACTTTTTCATTTACTTATTTTTTTTTTTTACATTTGACTAGAAAGAGACATAGAAAGAGAGAGACAGAGAGTCAGAAAGCAAGCCGCCTCGTCTGGGGCTCAAACTGTGGTCAGCCATGTGGGAGCGCCCAGCACCTTAACCACCACATCACTTGCTGGTCCCCGACCAACCACTAGTTTGGATCCCTGGTGGTCCTGAAAACACGCAGGGCGTGATGTGTGTGCCCAGGATCCTGAGGACCTGGAGGCCTAGGGAAAAGACTGGAATGCTGAGACCCTGTTAAGGGTGCTCTTCTCTCTCTATGTCTCTGTCTCTCTGTCTCTCTGCCTCTTGCATACATGCACTTTCTATCATTAATAAAATAAGCCTTAATAAAAATAAAGTTTATAAAGAGATGAGCTAAAGGGAACCAGCAGTTAGCGTAATGGCTATGTCGCTGGACTCCCACGTAGTCGACCGCGGTTCGTGTCCCGGACCCAGTAGCTTAAAACTCACACCGGGCGTGTGTGCGTGCGTGCCCAAGATCCCGAGAGGAGAATGGAGGAGAAGGGATTGTGGAGTGACCATCCCCCCTGGGGGGTGATTTCTCGCTTTCTGTCTCTATGTCTCTCTCTGTCTGTCTGGCGAGCGCACGTGCCCTACAGTGAAAATCTCTCCAAAAAAAAAAGAGATGAGCTAAACAAAAAATTAAGTAGTTTTCTCTTCCAGATGTCTTGGAAACTTAACTAGGCTAATATGTGTTAATATTTATCTCCAAGAGTGATATGAAAATATGTAGTATTTCTCAAACTTTTAACTACAGGATCCTTTTTTACAGAATAATAAATACTGTTTTAACGTTGGTAAAAATAGAATGTCTGACAGAATCTTTACTTTGCAATTTTATGAACCGACTTAGGATTTTTTTTTCCCTTTACAGATTTTCTCTGTGGGCAGTTCTTTTTGTTTTGGGACGACTTCTGACTTTAATTCTATCAGTGCTCACTGTTGGTTTTGGGCTTGCCAGAGCAGAGAATCAGAAACTGGACTTCAGTACTGGAAACTTCAACGTGTTGGCTGTGAGGTACGGTCATCTTAATGTTCACTTTGTGCTGGTAAAAATACATCATGTCAGCTTCTCCATGATGTGGATCGTCTGAAAAGTAGAGGGATAGATATGTGTGTTGAGGAAAAGAACTCCGTTGATTTTATTCCTGTTGCAATTTATATGTACAAGTCAAAGAACTAAAAGCATTTATTTTATTTTAACTCTTGGGATAAATTATTAATGGAATGATTACTTATTAACATAGTCTTGTCAACACAGTGGGAGTATTACCACTAAATACTATCAAGTAGCATAGAATACCTTATTCAACAGCATTGTTTTTATACACTGATTTTTTTTTTTTTTTGGTTTGTTTATTTATTAATCTCTCTCAGGATTGCGGTTCTGGCATCCATTTGCATTACCCAAGCATTCATGATGTGGAAGTTCATTAATTTTCAGCTTCGAAGGTGGAGGGAACATTCTGCTTTTCAGGCACCACCTGTGAAGAAAAAACCAACAGTGACTAAAGGCAGGTCTTCTAGAAAAGGAACAGGTTTGTATCAGTAAGCAATGAAAAACATATAGACATAAAAAGCATTTTAAAAGTTGTATTTTACTTTTTTTTTTTAGTAATTTGCTAGAAGGTACATGGCTTATTGGAGAGAGACAAAGAGAAAACCCCCTACGGGGCGAGGGTCACACCACAATCCGGTTTGCATTTCTCCTTGCAGGATTTTTGGTGCACACGTGCTCCTGGCATTTTTCTCAAATCACCAGATCCAGGACTTGAACCTCACAGTTGGTCATGTGGAATCTAGCCACCTTAACCTCCTCGCCACTCACTGGCCCTTTTTTACTTTTTAACAAAATTAGAGGTGAAATAATTTACTCTGTTTCACAATTGATGAATCACTGGGTGACAGGTTGATTACTCCCAAAAGCTGTACACTATATTTCTCTTACAAGTTTCCAGGCTTTCCAAGTTTTCCAATTTATATGGACAGTTTTAATGAATAACTACACCAGGCAACGATACTTTGTGTTTCTAACCATTTATGCACATTTTAAAAACCCCTTTACAACCCCTATAGTCCCAAGTAGAACGTTTACAACTTCTGATTGCTTGATCCTTTGTCTGTGAGCCTACATTTAACCTGTTTATCCTTCAGCTTTTGATTGACACTGCATTGACATTGCAGGCAGTTTTAGTGTGTGTGGTAGTGTATGAGAGGACTATAATACAGGGAGTTTCTTGTAAATCTTGTCCCTTGTAAATCTCAATATTTGATCATTTCTGTCCTCCAGCCCTGTTCTTTTTTACATTGTCCCTTCCAGTTCTTAGCTCTTTACCTTTTCTTAAAATTTTAGTACAGGGAACCAGCAGTTAGCGTAATGGCTATGTTGCTGGACTCGCACGTAGTCGACCGCAGTTCGCGTCCTGGACCCGGTGGCTTAAAACTCACGCTGGGTGCGTGTGCGTGCGTGCCCAAGATCCCAAAAGGAGAATGGAGGAGAAGGGATTGCGGCATGACCTTCCCCCCGGGGGGTGATTTCTCACTTTCTGTCTCTCTGTCTCTCTCTGTCTGTCTGGCGAGCACATGCACCCTATAGCAAAAACCTCTCCAAAAAAAAAAAAAAATTTTAGTACGGCTTGGTCAATGCTGCAATGACAGTGAAAAAAAAACAAACTTGCCAAGATAATGGATTGAAATTACATCCAATCTGTAATTTAATTTAGGAACAAAGTTTTAACCCATGAACAGTATATATACCTCCATTTATTTAGATTATCATTAATTTCTCATAGTAATATTTTTTAGTAACAGCTTTATTAGAATGTTATTCACATGCCATGAAATTCACTTTGTAAAGTATATGTGTTTGGTCTTTTGAAAAATTTTTTATCTTTCTGATTTGGGGGCAGAATTCTGTTTGTTCTGTCAGCTACTATGAAATGTATATTAAAATCTCATGCTGATTATAAACTTGACTATTTCTCCTTAGAGTTTTCAAAGTTTTTACATTACATATTTTGAAGACATGTTACTAGGTATCAAAATTTACTTACCGTGCACTGTGTTATGTATAGATTTCTAGAATTTGACTTGGTTTCTTTGACCATTTTGGGGGGGGGAAAAATCTTAGCCATTATTTCCTCAGATTCTGCTTCATCCCCATTCTTTTCCTCCTCTCTTTCTGGGGTTTCAGTTTATATGTGTGGTACACCCTTTTATGCTATCCCTTACATCTTTTCATAGTTTCTGAATTTTCCAAGCTTTTTTCTTTTTCTTTTTCTTTTTTTTTGGAGAGGTTTTTGCTATAGGGCGTGTGTGCTCACCAGACAGACAGAGAGATAGAAATTGAGAAATCACCCCCCAGGGGGGATGGCGACACTGCAATCCCCTCTCCTCCATTCTCCCCTCGGGATCTTGGGCACGCACGCACACGCGCCCAGTGTGAGTTTAAGCCACCGGGTCCAGGACTTGAGCCGTGGTCAACTACGTGGGAGTCCAGCGACATAGCCATTACACTAACTGCTGGTCCCCCAAGCATTTTTCTATTTGATTTTTAATCGGAGTATTTTCTTTAGTTTGTTAATCTCTTCTGTTGTGCCTATTTGATATTAAATTTGTTTATTAAATTTATATTTTCAGTTACTATATTTTCCATTTTAGAATAATCAAGACTGTGGTTTTCTGGTGAGACTCTGCATCTTTTCATTTATTTAATGTTTTAAAATATTAATTATTCTTATAATACCCCTTTTTGCTAACTAGAGCTGGATAACCTTAGGATCTGTTTCTTTTTTTCTCTCTCTTGGTTTTTGATCACTTGGCCTTATTTTCTGTCATGCCTGGTAATTTTTAATTGACTCCCATTATGTTTTGTATATAAATGCGTCAAGACTCTAGATTGAATACAGATGGATCACTCTATCTTACTCAACCTGATCTGTCCAGTTTGCCCACGTTCCTATGACATCAACATAATTGACATTTGTAAGGGCTTTCTTCTCTGATGGGACCTAAAGTCAGATATTTCTCTTATCCATGTGAGACTTCAAGGTCCCTGTTTAACTTTGTAGTTTGCTGGGAGTTGTATCCTGTTTGATTTCTGAGTCATTCTTGGTACATGTCTTGTTTAAGATAGGCAAATGCTCGAAGGAGAATCACATATAGAATGTTGGAGGGTTTTCTCTACAGTTCTTTCTTGTCCAACATTTTAATTGGAACCTTGGCGCCTAGGTATCCCTGAACTCGGCTGTTGGCTATTACTGTCTTGTCTTCCCTGCCTCAGCTCCACTGTACGGTTACCTTAGTTTATTTCCTTTCTTTCCAGGACCTTGGTACATTAAGTTCCAGCTGCCTTGCTTGCCTTCCAGAGCCTTCACACATTCCTTTTTGTATTTAGCTTTTATTGATTTTTGTAGATATTTTTGGAAGAGGGTTAGTCTGACATCAGTTATTCCATCAAAGCTAAAGGAAGAAGAAGGCTATGATATACTCTTAAACATAAATGTTACTATCCTAAACACCAACTTTTTTATATGTTTTAGGGAAATATTCCTGAGGACTTCACTGTCAAGTGTGAAGAGATTCTTTATTTCTATCAAAAATATTGCTCTTGAGTACCATTTTTATATTCTTGTAACTTTTTTCAAATAATTTTCTATCCTATTACTTTTTTTTTTTTTTTTTTTTTTGGCTTTCAATGGTAGTTACTTTGGTTTTAGTTTGCTGCTTTGAGATTGTTGTGTTCAAGATGTTACCAGGTTTTGGGGCCAACAGGTGGCATAGTGGTAAGAGCACTGGACTCCAATATGACCAATGCAATTCAGGTCCCAGACCCAGCGGCTCAGAACTCATGCCAGACATGTGTGCATGCGTGCCCAGAATCCGAAGAGGAAAATGGAAGAGAAGGGATTGTGGCGTGGCCATTCCCTCCAGGAGGAGGAGGGTTCTCACTTTCTGTCTCTCTGGCGAGCACATGCACTGTATAGCAAAAATCTCTCCAAGAAGAAAAAAGATGTTCCCTGGTATTATTTACTGATTAAATGTTAGTAAAGATTAAGCACTAGGGAACAAATTTTGCCTGAGTATATATTGGATTTAAATTTTTCTTTTCGATGGTATATTTACATATAAGGATTATATTATTATTTGCATTTATTTATAAAAGAGAAGTAACACTATTTACTTTTCTTTTCAGAAAATGGTGTAAATGGAACAGTAACTTCAAATGGAGCAGACTCTCCTCGTAATAGAAAAGAGAAATCTTCATAATGAATTATAAACTAATGACTAATGTCCCCAAAGAAATCTGCTTTTTACAATGTCTTTCGGCACTATAGAGTTTTTGGTTTTTTTTTTTTTTTTTTTGTTCTTGAAAATACAATTTGTGCTCTTTGATTCTTGCTATTGTACTGTTTCATGCATTTTTTTTTAAAAGGGCATTTGAAGGGAGGATGATTACTATGAGTGAAAATATTTTAGCTTAGACTAAGCTACCTGCCTTCAAAATAGTTTAGGGACCATCACCGTATTATATTTTGGTTTTTATCTTTTAAACATTTTTCTAATGATTTAGAAAAAAAAAAAATCTTTACAAAAATCCCACATAGCAGTGATGAAATTTCTTGCTCTCAACAATTTTTTATAAGATTAGCAAGGTGGCCTGTTCCAACAAGGTCATATTTTTTAAGTTATCTTTCAGGGTAAAATGGAAATACTATAAAGTTGGATGTCAAACTTTAATATGTTTTCAGTGTTCTCTAATTTTTAGTAATTTTTGTAGCCTTTACACCTGGAAAAAAAGATTTGTAAAATTACCAAATATTGTGTGCTTTATTTTATAGGTAGTGGTTGTTAGTGTTATATCACCATTTAAAAACAAAAAAACAAACATACTAATGATTACACCATGTGGAGATTTATTGTCATATATATTGAATCAAAATATCTTATTAACATAAAAGTACTTACAAAAGCTTCCTTGTGCTTTTTCAACACTCCAGTCTTAAACTGGAAATCAGAAAATATTTACTGTGAAGAGGAAAATCTGACTTCTATGTATGGCCTTTTTGATATGTTTATTAATAACAATTCTTAATGAGGCTTGTCATGAGTTTGATATGCACAACAGCTTAGAAGGAAATTGTTTAACCTGAAAACCCTTTTAAAAAACAATGCCTGCTTGGTTTATATCTGTAAAAAAGACTGTCAGGTAATTATATTTGGAAAACATTTAATGCACTAACTTCAAAGAAATTGAAAATTCAGGTGGATGACTAGTCTTACAAAAGACAGTGCTTTATGTTATAACTATAGCTTTGGTCCCATCTTTAATTGAGAAACATTTATCTGTATAAAACATATTTTTGGATAAATATATATATATATCTATATATATTTGTATCTCTACAGAAAGGCTCTAAAAAGCATTTGAGTAAAATACTTGGTTCCCTTTTCTAGAATTATCCCTTCAGGTCCTTGTAGCTCTCTTTGATCCGTCCGTCGTCCTCACAGTACACAGATATCTCCTTCGGTGTTCACATCTTGTTCCCCACTTCTCACTTCAGTCACCAGCTACTGTCCGTGCCATTCTTAGTGTACAAGTTGCAGGCCAGGTCTGCAGTTTAAGTTACCATGCTGCTAGAAAGTTGTGCTTTCTCTTTCCAGCTGTTACCTACTTCCTGGAAAAAGTAGTAGCTCTCTGTAGCATTATGAATTTTCAGTGGAACCAAATGTTTGCCATTAAAAACTGGCATTATATTGTACTATACATTGAGAAATCAATCAAAATAAAAATTTTTACTTTCACAACCTGCATCCTGAATGTTTCCTTTGTTGTTAGCATGTATGTTATCATCTCATTAAAACATGCCATGTTTGAATAGTTTACACTTCCTTTTTAATTGCCAGAGGGTATGCTTTTTCACCAGTGACAAGGAGAGGGAGAAAGCACTCCCTAGTGGGGCATGGTTACACTGCAGTCACTTTTTTCCTTCATTTCTTCATTCTGTCAGGATTTGGGGCACCCACACACAGGTACCCAGTGTCTTTTTTTAAGCTGCAGGCACCAGGACTCAACCGCGGTCAGCCACATGGGATCCAGTTCCTTTCAGCACTGGGCTACAGGGTCAGCCCTAAACAGTACAGACTTAACATTTACAACAGCCTTTTCTTTTTTCTTTTAGTTTTTGCTATAGAGTACAAGTGCTCACCAAGGAGACGGGGGAAGTGAGAAATCACCCCCTGGGGGGATGGCTACACCACAGTCCCTTCTCCAGTGTCCTCCTAGGAAAGGACGAACACATTCTGTTGGGCATGCACACACATGTGCTCAGCGCGATTGTCAACATGTTGGGTCCTGGACAAACTACACGGCCGGCCATGTGGAATCCAGCACCTTAACCTCCATATCACCTGCTGGCCCAAGACCAATCTTTTTCAAAAAGTGTGTTCTGCCAAGAAAAGATTAGTTCCATAGGACATTTATGACATTACTGAAAAAATACTGGTTTATAACCAAATAAATTTGGGGATTGTTGGGTTAAACAAGCCTAAAACTGTTTCTTTACTATAGTACTCTTCGATTCTTGATCATGCAAATGTGCTTCCTGGTGCACCAAGAAGGCTGGCAGGTGACATACAGTACAGTTTTTGCCAGTGGCACCGTGAATCTCCAGTGTTGTGAAATGTCACTGAAAACTGTTCTGCATTTCTACATGTGGACAGCAATAACATTAAGGGGGCCAGATATTGGTGCATCAGGGAGTCATGACTATGAGGCAGCCCCCATAGGGAAGGTTCCCAGTTCATGTCCAGAGACCTCCCTCTACACCAGGCTCATGTGCCTATACTCAAGGCTAGCTGAGGCCAGGGCTGGGTTGTGCCATCAGGACCCTGCTGGGAGTATGCACACATGTGCTCTTTTATCATTCGTGGGATAAATTTAACGAAAAATGAGAACGATCATTTCTTTGCATGTTTAAATGAGTGATTCTAAAAGTAACTGGAGAAAATATTAGGGCTTAATGCTTAAAACATGTTTCGTCTCATAAGACCACCCTAGATGTGGTAAATTTGTCAGAGGGTGCATGTGCTTGCTAGCGAGCAAGATGGAGAGGGCAAATCCACCCCCAACGCCCCCGCAGTAGGATGTGGTCACTCCACGGTCCCTTCTCCACTCTGTTGGGATTTAGGGTACACACATGCACCTGGCACAATTTTTAGGCTACTAGGGCCAGGATTCAAACCACACAGTCAACTATATGGGATCTGGCTGTCTTAACCACCAAACTTTTAAAAATCATTAGTGGGACCAGCAGGTGGCATGGTGCTTTTAAGGCAGCTGGACTCCCATGTGGCTGACTCTGGTGCGAGTCCCGGACCTGATAGCTGCTTTCTCACTTTCCCTCTCTCTGTCTCTTTGTGGTCAACTTTTAAAAATAAAATAATAACAGTGAATACAATAATTAATTAAATAATTTCTTTTTATAAGAAAAAGCTGTTAGCTATTTACAGAAGGCAATACATTATGACTTTGTGAAGGGAGCAGAGAACCCATATTTATAAAGACAAACCAGGCCAGTTTATCTGAGCATGATTTGCTTTTTAAAAAGTTGTAATAAATGTCTAAGTGACTCATGCTGGCCAGCTTTATTCAACACTATTTGAGGAAAAAATAGGCTAATTTGTCTAGCTTAATTATCTTTGTAATGAAAAAGATTGTTCACATGTTTAAGACCAAAATCAAACATTTTGGGTATGCTGAAAACAACAAAATTTAAAAATAAAAAGTGTGACAGGACCAGCAGTTAGCGTAATGGCTATGTCGCTGGACTCCCACATAGTTGACCACTGTTCGAGTCCCAGACCCGGTGGCTTAAACTCATGCCTGGCGCGCGTGCGTGCATGCATGCCCAAGATCCCGAGAGGAGAATGGAGGAGAAGGAATTGTGGCATGGCCATCCCCCCTGGGGGGTGATTTCTCGCTTTCTATCTCTCTGTCTCTGTCTGTCTGGCGAGCGCACGTGCCCTATAGCAGAAACCTCTCCAAAAATAAATAAATAAATAAATAAATAAAAATAAAAAGTGTGATGAGCTGATGTGATGGTTAAGATGGCTGACTCCCACATGTCTGTTGGAGTTTTAGACCCATTGGTTTGAAAACATGCAAGGCTCATGTGTGTGCATGCCCAACATCTTGAGGGAGAAGGGATTATAGCACGGCCCTGGAGGGCACTTTCCCCCTTCCTCTCTCTGTCTCTGGTGAGCACATGCACCCTCTGGCAAGAATTTCTAATTCGAAATTATAATGTAATAGGCTGAGACCAGCAGATGACATAATGGTTACGTCGCTGGATTTCCACATGGTAGACCGCGATTCAAGTCTCAGACCCGGTCACTTAAAACTTAAGCTGAGTATGTGTGTGCCCCAGATCCTGAGAGAATGAAGGAGAAGGAATTGTGGCATGGCCGTCTACCCTAGAGGGTGATTTCTTGCTTTCTGTCTCTCTATTTCTGTCTCTCCAGTAAGCACACATTTCCTATAGCAAAAATCTCTCTTTATAAAAAAAAAATGTAATAGGCTTAGGTTCATGACTGTCTCATTTGTGACTACTAAGAACTTTGACCTTATTTAACTGACTGAATTAAAAAATAATCTCTATTTTTAATTTGCTATAGGGCACACGGGCTCCCACATACATTGCCAGAAAGACCAAGAGAGGGAGAAAGAGGGTCATGCCTCTCGGGGGCATGACCACGCCACAATCCCTTCTCCATTCTCCTCTCAAGACTTTGGGCACGCATACATACACACATGCCCAGTGTGTTTTCCAGGCTGCCTGATCTGGGAATTGAACTGCATTCAGCCATGTGGGATCGAGCTGCCTTAACTACCACACTCTCCAGCTGTCCCAAAATCTCATATTTTAAAGCTTCAAATTTGAACAAATCTAACTAATCTAAATTGGTGGTATAACCTCACCGATTTCTGTTATCATTAGTGTGGTTGATCACTGATTGACTCTGTGATTAAATATCTATGCCACGGTTTCCTGTGATAAGTAATAACTCGTGCTCCACGAGGTCGTTCTGAAAACTGAGTGGTGGACAGAAATGTGCATAGCTCCTTGCCTGGTGTGTGTTAGTGTTGTTAGCTCATAAGATCGGGCACGCCCGCAAAGCAGATGAACGGTTAGTGTTCATTATTGCCGCATTTCTCATTTTCTGTTGAGGTTTACCACACTGCCCGACATTCCTGTTCCAGGATCCTAGTATATGCTCCACGGTTGGAGCCTTGAGCAGGTAAAGTGGCTGAAATGAACAAGCCAAACTTACAGCCAGCAAAGTTACCGTGAATTGTTGGAAGGCTGCAGGCATTGTTTAACCAGCACAAATGGGGCCAGTTGGTGGCACAGTGGTAGTACAACTAAACCCACATGAGAAGATCTTGGGTTCGTGCTCTTGGTCCTCCCTGTACATACTGGGCATGTGTGTCCTAATGATGCAGGCTGCCTGAGGCTGAGCACAGGTGAATACCCTGTTGGAGTTTATTCTCTTTCTCTCATTAAGAATAAATAAACTTCTTTAAAAATGTAAGTCTTGGGGGCGGTGGGGGAGCAGGTGGCGTGGTAGTTAAGGCACTGGAATTCCCACATGGCTAACCACAAATCGAGTCCCAGACCTGGTGGCTTGCTTTCTCACTTTCCCTCTCTCTCTCTTTCTCTGGCAAAACTCATGTGAAAAAATAATAAATCAATAAAATAATTCTTTAAAAAAATAATAAGATTTGGAGCCATCAGGTGGTGAGGTAAGTAAGGCACTGGACTCCTATATGGCTGACCACAGTTCGAGTTCTGGACCTCGTGACTTGCTTTCTCACTCTCTCTCATTCTTGCATCAGTCTACAAGGTAGGGGGACGTGGACCCCGTATAGAAGCAGCAGTGGATTTAGAAAGAATAGACAGACACACAAGTAGAGAAAAGTGGGGATCGGGCGGTCCAGGCGTCTCTGATGGAGCGCTCCACGGCGCTGAGCCATCCCCAGGTTTATTCTTTTATAGAGCAGTGGGGGAGGAGAAGCAGAACGTAAAGCCAGGCATTTTCTATTGTCAGCTGCAGCTGTGGAACTTCTTGCTCTCCCTGGTTCTAAACAAGTCTCCCCTGGCCATCTCTGGCTGACCTCAGCTTCCTTTAATTTACACTGCCCTGCAGTGCACAAAAGTAGATGATGTCTTTGTGAGAGCTTTCACTTGCCCTGCAGCATCAGCACGAAGATTATATCTATTTTAAAGGTCGCTAGCACTTTGTCGAGATCTGGCTGCTCCCTGTTTTCTCTTGTCAAATTAAAAATAAATAAATAAATAAATTTAATTTTTAAAAAAATTCAAATCTGAGGGACCAGCAGTTAGTGTAATGGCTATGTCACTGGACTCCCATGTAGCCGACCGCAGTTCGAGTCCCAGACCCAGTGGCTTAAATTCATGTTGGGCGCGTGTGCGTGTGTGCCCAAGATCCCGAGAGGAGAATGGAGAAGGGATTGCAGCATGGCCATCCCCCCGGGGGGGCGGGGGGTGGGAGGGGTGATTTCTCACTTTCTGTCTCTCTGTCTCTCTTTGTCTGGCAAGCACACGTGCCCTATAGCAAAAACCTCTCCAAAAAAAAAATGGTGAAAAAAAAAAAAAAAATTCAAATCTGAGGACCAGCAGGTGGTGTTCAGGTTAAGGTGCTGAATTCCCACCTAGCCAACTATGGTTTGAATCCAGGCCAGGCAACTTGAAAATCACACCAGTAGTGCATATGTGTGTGTGTGT